AGCCACAAATATACTGATCACTCAAGAGCTTGTTATTCTTGAGATCTATGAACAAACCCTACTGGAAAAATTAGGAGGAAATTCTTTTCCATACTGAGAAAATCACTTTGCTAGTGGGTGTATTTACATCAAACAGAATCAATCATATATCACCAAATTGGGATATAAATCTAATAATCATGTTCTCCTGCACCCTATGGTCCAGGAAAATTGTAGTCACCTACCATTCGATCTAATCCAATGGATGAGGTCATTAACTTTTGTTGTTTTCCTTTCTCTTGCACCATTGGATTAGATCAAATGGTAGGTGATGACAATTTCCTTGAATCATAGAGTCCAGAAGAACCTGACTTATAAATCTAATTCAATTGCTGATTAATTTACGTCTCCTTGTGTCAACTTGTATTCAAGTTTTGTTATGAAGAATGTTACGCATTCATATACTAGTATAGTTGGAGTCTTGGAGATGCTCTGGGATAAGCAGAAAATTTGAACTTAGAATCTCGTTTTAATCCAAAGAATGAGGCCATTTAACTTTTATTGTTTTATTTTCTCCTTCACTATTGAATTATATCAAACGGTAGGTTAGCATAATTTTCTTGGATCACAGTGTTGTGATTATTGCGTTTAAGAATGGGAAAAACAGAACAAAACTCGAGAAATCGAAAACAAAATACTAAGACAAATCACACCACGAATTAACGTAGTTCGGCTATATGTGCCTACGTCTGTGGGGCAGAAACAACAATTTTTTACGATATCGATAATGAGTACAATGGATAATCTTACCAAATCTCTAGAATTAATACTTGACCAAAAACCTAAAAGAACAAGAACAAAAAATTACACTCTTTATCTTTTTTTCTTTTCTCTTGCACACACTTTGCTTTTCTCTCACTCTGACTCCTTCAGTGCTATACAACTTATTGTTTTGCATCAATTCAAAACTAGTGCAATAGCCCCTTTATATAAACATATAAAGGTCTTTTTAAGTAAGGATTACTAATTCTGATTGGAATCTAGTTATGAATCCTTCTCCAATTGAGAAACTAACTCTAATTGGGAAAACAATAAATTGGGTAAACAAACTTCAATTGGGGAAACAACTCCAATTGAGAAAACCACTCTAGTTGGAAAAACCACTAAATCTTCCAAGTCTATAATTCCTAATATACTTAAGACAATTAATTATGGAGTGTAAAAACCGAACAGAGAGAGTCTAAAATAACGGAATTGGATCTATTCAACTGTTGATGATTTTATGTCACCTTGTGTCAAATCGTATTCCATCATAGATTGATATTGTTAGAAATGCTCTGAAATAAGCAGAAGATTTGAACCTAAATCTATTGTATGTATGTCAATTGGCCACGGTGCATACACCTGAGTATCATACACAGTACTCCCCATAATTGTTGAGTGGCACAAGGACCCACATTCTCTAAACTAAATGATCAAATGGGTTCCAGATAGGAGTTTGTTTAGCCATTTAGCTTAATAATAGTAGTGCCCAGTCAACAGATGAATCATGCTAAAGCACAAGGAAACAAGCCCATTGCTTAAAGTTTGTAAAAAACAATGAATAGTGGGAACTTTGGATATTCATAGTTTTTGACTGTAAAACTGGCCTTTTCTTCAGTTACCAATATTTCACACATTATCAAACATTATGTGTGTGTGTATATATTTATATATACTTGCAGTGCTACCTCCAACTGAGTAATGCGAGCACATCTCATGTTCTCACCAACTTTCGTTATTAAATAATGTGTTTGTCCACCATTTATTCAAATCTAATTCCGTTCTAATTTTTATTTACTTTTGATAAGTAAGATATTAACATGTGTACAGACACATCATCAGATGTATAAACTTGGTGAAAATAGTTGGTGCATCTCGTGTTAGTAGCTCAAAATTTACGCAATCGGGAACAAATTCGAGACCATTACATAGGTTAGATTGAGAATCAACCATCCTAGGTATACCATAATAGGGGAATCCAATCGAATAATGTTTTCACCGACTTTTGTTATCAAATAATGTGTTTGTCCACCATTTATTCAAATCCCACTTTAATTTTTATTTACTTTGATATTAACATGCATACAGATACATCATCGGATGAATAAACTTGGTGAAAACAGTTGGTGCATCTGGTGTTAGTAGCTCAGAATTTACGCGATCGAGAAACAAATTCGAGACCATTACATAGGTTAGATTGAGAATCAACCATCCCTGGTATACCAGAATAAGGGAATCCAATCGAAATGAATTCTATTACGCTTTTTCTTCCGTCATTTTAACGTAAAAGCAAAAGGTGATTGTGTGTTTTCAAGTGCGCAACAATATTGTGTCACTATACTTTCGCTTTTTTTATCTAATAATTCATGTAGAGATAGAGGGAATTTGTGTACACGGATTCAACAGTAGGGTTCGTCGAACTATCTAAAACCACTTTCCCTGGACATCTATAAAAAAAGGAACTCCGCTTGATCAGCGGTGACCAAAACCCATGCAAAGATACCGTAATACTTAATTCGAGGGCACTAACAAGGTATCTTTAAGCTGTATTATTTGTTCAATTAGTAGTTCCTAAGTAAATCACAAAAACTCACTCATATCGAATATGAAGGGTTTTCGACAAATATTAACATTTCAATAGGTTAGTAGATTCCCTGTATTTTTAAGTCCCTGGGAATCTTTAGGGTTTGTGTAAACAAAAGTTTCTATATAAAAAGGAATATAGTTTCATAAGTTTTTTCATGCAGGAGAAGAGAAGTGTGTACATATTTTACAGTTGAAGTTTCCAGAGCACAATGAGCATAGTCGAAACAATGAAGGCTGCCAAGCCTTTCTTTGCCGTTGTTTTCTTGCAATTTGGGCTTGCCGGCATGGATATTCTCTCTAAGGCAGCACTAAACCAGGGGATGAGTAACTACGTGCTCGTTGTCTACCGCCACGTTGTTGCCACTGCTGTCGTTGCTCCTTTCGCCGTCATACTGGACAAGTCTCTCTCTCTCTCTCTCTCTCTCTCTCTCTCTCTCTCTCTCTCTCATGCACCCAAAACACCACCTTAGAAGTTGTGTTGTGTGACTCTCGTTACTAAAGGGCGTTTGTTATTCTTGAGCAGAAAAGTGAGACCGAAGATGACGCTTTCGATCTTCATCAAGATAATGCTGCTCGGTTTGCTGGAGTAATGCTTCTAATTGCTTTCTTGTTGTGCAAGGTTTCTCCTAATTTCTTGTAAATCATTATATATCTATCTATCTCTTTGGCAGGCCAGTTCTGGACCAAAATCTGTACTTTATGGGAATGAAGTACACAACAGCAACCGTTTGCAGCAGCTATGTGCAATATTCTTCCCGCCCTTACTTTTGTAATGGCTTGGGTTCTTAGGTAACGTATGCTAATATGCAAAAAGTATTTCTCTTTTTCGCCGAAATTATTTTTGTGAAATGTCTAGTTTTTTTGGGGTTGGGATACACATAACAACTCGTTATCGTTTACTCTCAGGCTTGAGAAAGTGAAATTGAAAAGCATCCGGAGCCAAAGTAAGTTGGTTGGAACTGTAGCAACCGTTGCAGGTGCCATGATCATGACCCTCGTAAAGGGTCCACTTTTGCATTTATTTTGGACCAGACCTAGCCATGAACAGCATACAAGTGCCGCTACTAGCCTCCAAGATTCGATCAAGGGTTCCCTAATGATTACAGCCGGCTGCTTCTGCTGGGCTTGTTTCATGATTCTACAGGTTATTGTTTCATAAATTTAAGTTTCCTCACATCTTACGATTGGTTGATGGTACTAAAATACATGATGGGTATAGTACGTTGAAAAATATCGAACGTGCATTATTTGACGAGAATCTTCTTAAAAATACGGTGAAAAATTTGTCTCTGCAGGCAATCACACTGAAAACGTACCCAGCTGAGCTCTCCCTTTCCGCTTGGATATGTGCGTTGGGCACACTGGAAGGAACTGCTGCAGCATTGGTGATGGAAAGGGGAAATGCTGCCGTCTGGTCCATAAAATGGGATACAAAATTATTGGCAGCTAGTTACAGTGTGAGAAAAATTCACTTCTAATTGAGTTGGAGAAATTCTCTCCTGTGCTCATGGGTTGCGCATGACCCATATGTCAATACGTACTTTTACCATGGTTTAGTGTCGATTAGTTGTATGTCTAGTGTTCTTCTAGCTTTTTTTTTTTTTCTTTCCAAAGTTTGTAATTGTTGTACTTGTGCATATTTCCCTAAATTCTTATGGTCTTTTTATTTACCCAATATCCATGCAGGGAATATTCTGTTCAGGACTAGCTTATTACATTCAAGGAGTAGTAATGAAATACAGAGGCCCTGTGTTTGTGACAGCATTCAGTCCCCTGAGCATGGTTATTGTTGCTGTCATGAGCTCCTTCATCCTGCGTGAGCAAATGTTTCTTGGAAGGTAATCCATCATGTTACATCCTTCACAAATTACCACTCTTGCTTGCATGCTTTATGTAAACTTTTGTCACAAAACGATACTCTAAACTACTATGATTTGATCGTTTTACAGGCTGCTGGGTGCTGTGGTCATAATCGCCGGCCTATATCTCGTTGTATGGGGTAAAGCCAAGATCACGAGTCCCCGGAAAAAACAATCGGAGATGAATTAACGGCAACGAAGCAAGCACAAGATGAAAAAGCTCTCGAGGTCATCACAATCGCACCATCTTGTAAATGAAATGCAAGGAGATGGAAATGAAAACAAAGGGAATCCAATATCTATATATCTCTCACACGAACATAGCCTAAACAAATTTCACCGAGCAACGTGAACCCTGGAGATCGGTTAGCAAAGTTGGTCACTAATTCAGGCCCTGCTTGTGACTAGTGTTTAATCGGTCATGCCGAAGATCAATTTTGTTGTAGTGATGTTTTAGGTTTCTCGTTGGTCTATCTATTTACATCAGTTTGCATAATAACAATAAGAACGACCAAAAATCTTTCAGAAAGCAAGTACTAAATTATCTTAAAATTTCATTTCCTTCAAGACTGTTACAAAATACAAACTACAACCCGTCACCATATGTCAAACGACTAAAAACGGAGGTTCTAGTCTGGCATAAGGTTCGTCTCAAAGATTTACAAGAACTACTTGTCCTTGACATAACTACCCTGAGCCATTGCGTTAGTGAGGAAGTCACCGTCAGTGAGTAGCAAGTAACAGCCAAAAACGATTACTTGTATTCACAAAACAAAAGATGGTCCGGCCTCCGAACAAGCTTGCTTCATGAAAGTTGCTTTCCCTCTTCCTTGCCATATATACGCTGAAGTTCACGTGTTGCTGCCAAAAAGGATTCTGACATGGAGAAAGAGAGCAAACATGAGAAGAAACATTCGTAGCATAAAACAAGCATACCAGAAAAATGGGAAAATTTGGAGTGTCAAATGGTGTATCACCTTTCCAAAGGCTGGAAGGATTTCTGATTGATAGGCGAACCAATAATAGTCTGAATAACTTCAAACAGCATATTCTGCGGTGTGCTCCTGAGCTCTTGAACAATCCCATATATAGTTTTGCCATTCTCAAAATATATGTGATTATTCGGGTGTTTTGTTTTGCAATCAGCGTGACGCTCAAATTCATATGCATTGATTACCTAATATGCATTGTTGATTCGAATGGATCACCAAATTGGCCTTCAATATGAAAAAAGAAAAAAGAAAAAAAACAGAACAAACTCACCTTTGAGAAGTTGCACGACTGACAGCCACATAGATACCCAGAACCTTTGATCACACCCTGCAGCTCCTTCTAAAATGCATATGAAGAATATATGTGTCACCAATTATAGCCTAACCTGAAAATGAATGCATGAGGACAAGGATTTTTACCTCCCGTGACCAGGCTGTATATTTTACAGGAACTCCATCCAGCATACCCGTTGACAATAAACTTCGAACATTTGATGGGAAGTTGTTTGGGGGAACCTTCTTAGACGTTTTCTGTTCAACTTTCTTTTTCAAAACATTTTCATTTCCAGCAGTTATATGAGGTATATTGACAAGGACACAGGACTTTGATTTGCCCAACTCTCTCTCATTCACAGCTTCTGTTTTAAAAAAAGGTTGACCCATCAGAAGCTCATAACCAGAGATTGCAGAGGTAATTGCATCATCGTCATCACATCTGCCAAAGGATATGATAGTACTCTCACGCTTATCATCAGAGTGACCAATCGATAACATATTGTTGTCACCCTTGCTGTAGGCATGACCAACGGATATAGTACTCTCTTCCCCTTTATAGTAGAAATGACCCGTTGACATGGTACTTTCCTCTGCCTTATTGTAGGTTTGGCCGATAGAAATGATATTATTGTCACTTTTGTTGAATGTCTGACGCGCTGATAGGGTGTTATTTCTCTCCTTGTATGATTGACCAATCAATATGCTTTCATCCCCCTCGTTAAAAGGTTGCCCAATTGAAATGAAGCTGTTATCTGCCCTGCGGTAGGTATCACTCATGGATATGAAGTTGTCATCCTCCTTCTTATAAATGAGGCCGGTGGATGCTGAGTTTTTGTCAGACTTGTAAGCGTGAGCTGCCAACACAGCATCATTATCTGCCTGAACATAATCTTGTCCGATTGAAACAGGCATGACATTCTCAGAGTCCTTTACCTCGCTAACTTTGACTTTTCTAAATCCACCGTAGTTAGGACTGGATCTAGGATCTTCTAGTGTATTGGACATAGATAGACCAAATGAGGAGTCATTCCCAAATAAATCCTCACTAACTTTACTAGCCAAATTCATCTTTTCCATTCCAACAGACGGAATGCTCCTTTCATCAAAATTCACAGCACGGTCTGTTTCAGAATCAAATAGCCTTTCAGTGAAATGGCCAGAGAATGATTGAAAACTAGGAACATTTCCCCACGGAAAAACATTCGCAGTTAACATTCCCGAATACAGATTGCTGTGCGGAACTTCAACCGCCTGTTTCTTGTTGGGGAACAGCCCTACTTCAGGACCATCCATGAACCACTGATGAGAACGCTTAGGCTCAATTCTAGAAGAATTATCATACAGCGCCTCACCTTTGTTTAAACACCCAGTACCCTTTGCCATCCAAAGTCCCTGATTCTGAAAAGACTGTCACAAATACTACTCAGAAAGACAACTTCACTACGTAACTAATTTACATATACGAAAATAAGCAAATTCAAATCTCTATTTTGGTTTTAAATACCAAACTAATACTAACAACCTTAAATTGAAAGAGAAACACATCAACCACTATGAGAACTAAAACTTAGAACACATATGCATTCGAAAACCTAACATCCAAACGAATAACAAAAGCACATTGCTAAAAACACATGCAAAGATCCAATCTCAAAAGCCAAACTTCGTTAAGGAGACATCAAACCTACCATTTTTGTTGATTCACTGCAAACTCCACTCCGCCGGGGCTTTTGCAATTGCCAGGGACCTGGTTGAACAACTATTTACACTCCTATATACAAATCTAATACCACCAACAATGCACATTGACATTCCAATTCCAAGATCAAACTTTCTGCACTTAATTTATCTGCCAAACAAGATTAAACAAATCAGTAAATCTGTAAACCCAATTAATTAAGTATAAACACAATTAATTAATGATCCACTACAAATATCAGTCATGCTCTGTTTGGCAACCGAGAAAATGTCGAAAACGAAGCGAAAATCGAACTTCTACATGCAAAGATTATCACTTTTTGAAAACCCAGAATCGAAAATTGCTTAGTTAATAGCAATGCAATCAAACAGGGACTTAAAAGCTAAACAGGAAGCGAAACTCGTAACCCTAAGACCCTACTCTGTAACGCATCATCAAAAGCAGCGGTATTTTCAATGCAAACCTGACAGTGGGATCCGTAGACGGTGAACGATGAACTTCCCGGCGCCTAAGTGGCCGGAGAACACGCCGGATAATGTAAGGACGGAGATCTTGGTCAGATCTGACAGTGAGAGGGACTTGGATTTTGCAGTCGAGGGAAAAACAGAATCCAAGATGATGTGAGTGCCCTGCACGATCACTATGCGTGGAAATTGCATCAGGGCCGTACACGTGGCATTGGGACACGAACCGTTCTGAAACCGGTTGGACTGAGCTTCAGTTGGAAGTTGAAGTTTAGAAGTATTTGAACAACTTATATTGTACGAGCAAATCATTATTTTTACATCTGAAATTTTTTTGATGATGTTAAGAATACAAGAATACTTGCAAGTTTTTTTATATATAGCATTGTATGCATTATAACAATATCCCATAGTAACGATAGGCACGTACCATGCTATGATGGTGGCTTGAGTTGTAAATACGTGACACTTATCCAGATCTCATTAGATTTGTAAGAAAAAAGGTTGTCCCAGCTAGGGAAATGTATTCTTTGTATTTTTGGGAATTATTTAATTTTATGGGAGGAAAAATGCTTTGGTGAGTAGTAGCACTATGACCATGCACCTTAAAATAGACATTCGAGCTTTGATTGGAATTGGAAGCATCTCCTCCATTACTTTAGATAATTGTTGATGAAATTGAAACATCTAACTCTACCTACTATATTAAGGCTTAAGGGGGGGAATATGAAGCTTATAATTGGTGGCCAATGAAAGGGTATGACCCTAAGTATAATGGGAAAGATTTTTCAATGTGCCAAGAACACGGTCTAGATACATCAAATGTAATAATATAATTGGTTGAAACTTGGAAAAAAAAATTTCAACCTATTGTATTATGACACTTGATGTATCGACCATGTTTCTGACACACTAATTTATTTTCCTTATAATGGACTTGCTAACAAAATTGGGTGGAAATAATTGGTCCAAAGTGTTTCCATTACCATCTTGGTGGGCATTTGCCTTGGCTCTCAAAGTTCCATATACTATTGTGTGGATCTAGTTGTTACTAATTCACTTTTTTTCTTTTATTATTTTTAATTCACATCGTATTGTTATTAATGTATTTAAGTTATAACACAAGACATTGTTAAGAGTTAGCTAAAAAGCAATGCTGTTAGTCATTTTTAACAAACGTTGAGTTTCTTTATAGTCCTTTGTAATGCAACAAAATTACAAGAAACACAAAAAATCACTACCTCAGCTCTCAACAACAGTCATCACTCAAACATTCGAGTTTGAGCCGTTAGTCATAGCCTCTACAAAGATTCTTCACAACAAAGCAGATTGTGGTGTTTTGTGAAGTTGGATGGGGATATAGCGCTTCAAAGTTCGTGAGTTTAATACGGCTAGACCGACTCTATTTCTATTCCGTTGGTGACACAGTAATTACTACTAAAAATTACTCTTTATAAATAGAATATATGACTCGGTGAGATTTATGAAATCAAATTTTAACAGAGCCATTACCCAAAAATAAGTCGGAAATATGAAAGGGTTTCACTGGTAAATTGCAAGAGCAAACAATATGGGGAGCAAAGACACTACTACAAAGCCACTACCCCCAGTTCCTTAACAGAAACATTCATTCAAAACTGTCCTTTTTTCTACATATCTCAACTTCTAATAAACCTCCTCTCTCTGTTCCCTCTCCCCCTACTTAATCTCAAACAAAGATGCATTCTTCTGCAAAAAGCTGATTAACCACTTACAATTCAGCTTTTCACAGAAGCTGCTTTCACTCACCATCTCCACTTTCCCCAGTCCTTAGCAGCTTGTGTGCTTCTGCTTCTCTGCTCCACTACCAACTCAAACTTCATCATCATCATGCCTTCAAAAATTTAAGCATGCCTTGGAGAGCTTAATATTTCAGTCCCAACAACTGCCAAAAAAAGCCAGAAACATCAGCTTCTGCTTTTGTCAGTCAGTCAGAACCAAACGCATTACACAACAACTAGCTGTAAATTTGTACATTGGTTGGCTGGCTGCTTCTGCTTCTGCTTTTGGCCTTCAAAAATGTGGGCTGTGTTTGGCAGTAATTAAATCAGAACCTTGAGATGGTGTCTACGCTTTTGGTTCTGGTGAGCAGCAAAAGCTCTTCTGCCTGCACTTTGGCTGATGACTTGAGCACGCAAGAGTTGGGCTTTTTCTTGGCAGCCCAGTCTAATCGGACCGAAAACAACGAATAAACTGGTCTGTGGTCTGAGAACTTCGACTCCCCTCTCATGTAACACATTTGTTTAAGCCCTTCCCCCTTCCATAAAATCCTGTCACACCTGCCAATATATCAAACCACATTAGCTTCTTTTCCGAACTAAACTTAAGAATATAAGATCGAACATAACTATTTGTGTCACATTTACTGATTGTAACTGCGTCTACAACAAACATAAACTCAGCGTATGGAAGTGCGAAATTAGAACAAAGCAGATGTTATGAACGCTACTGGGCACCCTAAACTTAGTTTTTCAGGATCGTGTTGGTTTCTAGAGGAAAAAAAAGAAACTACCAAAGGCTTTTTCTTTTTAATTTTTCATACAAGAGATTATATCTTAAACTAATTTAAAACTGCAGAAAAATATATTCAAACTTGAGTGCAGAAGAGAGCATCGCTGCTCTAATCAACGCGGCTATGCCGACGTCCGCAGTAGCAAAGGTTTAAATAAAAGCAACTTGTTTTGAATATGAAAATACAGACATGGCGGTCTTTACAAGTCACATGTTCAATTTTTTTTAACCAGATGAAGCAAACGGGTCCATTTTTCACCTGCCGACTCCTAAATTAAACTATTAATCTAAAACATAAATGATGACCAAAAAATAATATCGGTTTCATGTGAACAAAATTGATAATTACTTAATAGAAAGTGATATCTTATTTAATTATTTATTTTCTCTCTGCTCTCACAGTAATGGTCCCAGCTTAATGATGCTTAAACAGTTAAATCCCACCACCGGCAACACCAATTTTAGAAAAAAATTAATATAGCACGTAAAAGTTAAGCTTTCTTTGGATTAATTCAATTGAATAGAAAACGTGAAAAAGTCAGTACTAATAAAAACAATTTGAAAAATCATTTAAACAAATCCGGAACTGCAGCCTGGAGTCAACACTGATTCAATAAAGTTTGCCAGGTCGGTTATAGGACTAAAAGGATGATTACCCTAATTGAAAATAGAAGCTTAGTAAAGTTGATTGTCCTTAAGTAGCAATAGTTTAGGTCCAACTAAATGCGTAGTCTAGAATATATTTTCAATGACTACACTACTACCTGATGTACTTCATTTACGGACTACATTGTCGATGAGTGATCTTAATGTTTAATATAACTGATCTTATCTCTCATACAGGTAAAACGGGGTCTCGCTTATGAATGTAATTAAAAATTCATACAAAATATATAATTACACTATAAGTTTTGTGTAAGGTGATCACTACCTTGCTTGCTCCTCATTTCAATAACCTCGATGAAATGCGTGATAAAATTTGATGTAATTAGTCATAAGCTCATAGGAAAACTGATTGGAATCTTACCAAGCAGGAGTGCGTCTCTTCTCTCTGGAGTTGGAAGATTGGGCGACGTAATGATCAGAATTTGCTAGGTATTTGTAGGTTGGAGCAAAATATATCCTCCCTTCCTCCCACCCTTTAAACACTCGGCCGGCTTGCTGCTCTAAAATTAGCTGCCAAGAAACAACCAAATCCGAGCGTAAGATTCAAAATGCCAACAATTCCTTTTTTATTCGAGACGTTACAGTAGAACGAACTTACGTTAGTATCTTACCTGATCCTTCTCTAAAAGTGCCTGCCAATTGTGCCTCTTTAGTAGTTCATGTGTGTCACTGCAGCAAGCAGCTGCAAGCCGATAATTTAAATCCCCGAGCCAAATAACCTTACTGAATTAGATTAAAAACAGGCAAAATTGTCTTAATTGGCGAATTAAAACAACCGTAATCTATAATTATTGACAATTAAATGAACAAAAATAAGAGAGGTTAGGTTTCGATGACTTACTCATGGTCTAAAATGCTATCAGGAGGAAGCAGTTGTCCCCTTGTTCTACATGAATGAGAAAAGCTTGTTTTCTTTAAGATTTCCACGACATCTGAGTTCCTTCTCATCTCATCCCCTTCTTTCTCCCCAGAGGTCAAATGTGCACACACAAAACAAAATGTTGTTCCATGCAACGTCATGCTGATTGATATTGAACCCTGTTGCACAAAAAATCATATAGCTAAGAGCGACTAACTCAACTACAACGTTGTCATATGTGCACTACCATATATATTTGTATCATCTCAAGTGATCGACCATCTTTTCAATAGGAGTTGGACCAACCATGCGGAACTACACAGGTGATCCCGTTTCTGTTAAAGAGATGGTGGTACATTGATCATATGTTCAGTTCGTGTGGATATAGTTTTGTGTTTTGACATTTCACTAACCTTGTTTCCAAGGTATCCCATTATGCCTGTACCGACGCACGACACCTTCGTGTCGCTAATGTGTCTACAAAGATCTGCACGAACCCACACGCACAAAAAAATTCCAACCATCTGCTTGCTTGCTGATAGGCAATAACGATGTCCTTGCCTTGGACTATTGCCTTTCCATGGACACATCAATGGCGAGGCTGGTGAGTTTTCTCCACTTGAAGTCGATGCCGGATTCAAATTCAGAAGTCTTTCAAAGTCCGCATCGCTAAGTTCGTCTTCTAAAGAAAGCAAGTCGGAGAAGCTGAGCCTAGGCTTGCCTTGCTGGTCAAGCTGTGAAGAATGTTGTGTGTGGGTGGCATTGCTGTAATAATGCGAAAGTCCAGAGTCATTCTTGTTCAATGCTTCACGAATAAGCGTCACCCACTTGGCAGCAGGGGCCTTGTCCTCCGCACCCAATACGTTACCGGCATTCAGAGGGACAATTTCTTGGAACCTAATTAAAACACACAAAAAATGAAAAAAAAAAAAATCCCATTTAAATAATTTGACATAAAATATTTTCAGATTCTAAATGTAAATCATTTACTTCGTAAACTATTATTTAACATCGAGTAATACTAGATGAATCAATTTTTTAGATCAAATTTGTAAATCATGTGATATGTTACCAACAGGAAATACACACGTTAACCAACAGTTAAGTAGTAGTTCAATCATCAACCAACACTTCATATGGTTTACGAAATTTGGACCAAATAGTTGCTCTCTAGCATTACTTTTTAACATCATAATCAGATAAACAGTTTGACAAGAAAATATTATCCGCATACTACGTAACTAAAACTTGCAACAAGAACCCAAGTATAAAAAGAATATTGGATTGGATCTAATAAAAGTATAAATTATAGGTTGGACCATTGATTGGCACAAACTCTTCTTTTCAATGTTAAGACTATTATTATTCAAATGACAAGGCAAAAAACAAGAAAGGAGTCTAATTTGGAATGCAAATTGAGAGGGAGAGAGATGCAAAGCAAAGACTTACCCAAGAACATAGATGTCCGCGGGAGTAGGGGACCTCAGCCACTCCCTCAAGTTCAAGTCCTCGTGGGGTGATTTCCCTCCAACATTCCATGTCCCCACGAACATTCTAAATATATAAACAACTTCGATAAGTCTAGTCTGACAAAAACTTGTGTGAAGAGAATCATTGTTTCAAAAAGAAAAGGCCCTATATTTTTGCAAGAAAATTATGAACACCACACAATCTAAGAAAAGTTTACGGCCGCGTATTTATTGACCTAAGTATGTATGTGACTGTTGCAATTGGCTGGCAATTACTTACGTAAGCAAGTCCGGCTATAGCATAAACAGATGAAAATGCTGTCATCATTATTCATTGAGTGACACTAAGTAACACATTAGTGGTCCATTTGACGCATTCAATGGTGTGTATAAGGGGGTTTATGCACTACCAATTATTTATAGGTATTCACTTACCACATATTTATGCCCTAAAAGTCTTCATTTACACAATATATAAAACTTACGTAGTTATGCTCTAGAAGACGACACTTACACTATCATAATATAGAACTTACTTGAGATTGAGATCATTAGTGAAAGTTGGTGGCTCCATCCCAAAACCTGGTCTATGTGTTGTTTTCCCCACCAAGGTACACCCATCTTATAAGAAAAATGAAATAAAATAAGATTAATCCAACTAAAACCCAAAATTAAAAATGCTTAATTTCTTTGAGAAAGCATACGGCAACGAACACCTAGTTACAGTTCATGTTACTGCAACACAATAACTCCGAACTCCAACATCCTAACATCCTTCACCGTCCACGTGGCCCAACCAGAATTACCTCTGTATTATCCCATGGGGACCCAACCAGAATCAAGGGGAGCCCATCATGACCCAGTTCGTGTCTAATCAAAACTAATAACAAAAGCCGTGGATCGGACGGCTCAGAGGATATCAGGGCGCATGTGAGCCAAAGGTGCACCAAGTACTTGTACAGTGCCGTTGCATGGTAAAATTACCTGAAAAATCGTCCGGTACGATGACATAGCGGTCTTGGTCCGAGCAGCTCTTCCTTCTCCCAGTCTCGTCTGACACAACAACCAAACAAACAAACAACTTCAGTTCGGAAACCGCCGAAAACACCCGATACGAAACGAGACACCACGAAAAATGAAAAGGCCGGAAAATAAATACCGAAATCTTACATTTCGGAGAGTAATCGGAATGAAAATCGTCCCCTTTGTTTGGTATGTTGAGCCATTTCCTCGCCACTGCTTTCGGCCACGAGGGCTGTAACAAAACAATTCGGATATCGGATTTTAATTTCTGTTTCGATTTCGGTTACAAGCACCCTATCTATTACAAATTTACGATAAACGAAAAAATTAATGGCCAAAAGATGAATCGGGTACCTTGGAAATCTTCCCTCCGTCAGTCCGCATTGCTCCGCCGTCCAGTCACCGGACCAAAATCCAATCCACAACTCTGAAAATCTGGATGGAGAGGAAGGCGAGTTTAGTAGGTGGGTTAGGATAATCCGAATCTAAAAACACATTAATAATTTACTTATTAAGAAAAAAATATGATTAGGGAAGTGAAAGTCGTCAAGAAAAACAAAAGGGGTGCTGAATCAAACGAAAAATAATATAATATATTGACACATATTTCCGGCAAGAGGAAAACGAAGGTTAAATTAGTGTCAGCTGGAGCATTCAACGGCAATATAAAAAAAACCCAGTTGCAGGAGATATGGAGACAGCTTCGGAATCAACGTAAGCTTGAAGAAATGAAATTAAAATTAAAAGAAAAAAGAAAAACTTACAATATTAGAGAAAATGATTTTTGTGGTAATTAATAAATGAGAGAGAGAAAGAGACAGAGAGACAGAAAGACAGAGAGAGAATAGGCCAGGTTCATCCTTTTGGAGGAGGAAACTTCTTTACAAGCATGGAGGTAGCCTTTACAGAGGGAGGAGGAGGAGAAGAGATTAAACAAGAACCAGAACAGGGACCAAAGGGTTGGCCTTTTTTGAGATCTTTAGCCACGGATCAAATCCAAATAAAATGTCACAAAAGGTTACCTTTTGTCAAGTTTGGCGCTGGTTTTACATGGGAAACATAAAGATTTGGACTTTGAGAACCAAGATATGAGAGAATGATGAGAAACGACTGGAATCCAGAAGCTTTTTTTATCTGGGGAATTTGAGGTTTGGGTTTTGTAATATAGGGAAGGAGTCACAAGATCTTGGTCATTAGAGAGACAACAACGGTGTAATAAACAAATGAGGAACAGAAACGGAAAAAAACAGAGCTTCACAAAAATAGTGCGGCAATAAAACAAAAAGAGAGAGAGAGAGAATCATAAGGACCGAGTGATTTCATGGACGTACTGTCAATCGCATTGTTGATTAGAAATGGGATTTATGTCACAAATCAATAATTAAAACAAGCACAACAGTATATTTACAGAAACTAAAAAAAAGTAGAAATTTTGGGTTTTTGGGTTTACTGGGGAAATGGAATGCTTACAGAAATGAACCCAGAGGAGAGGATGGTAAAATTGCGGAAGGTTGAAAACTTGGAAGGAGAGCCCTAATTCTTTTGTGGAGCTTTCGTTGTCGATCAGGTAAAGAAGGTAAGAGACAAGTCAGAGAAGCCAAAGGCCTGATGTGCGCGGGCTCCTGCTTGTTTGCATCTTTTGGTTAGATCTTTTGGTTAGCTGGGAAGAGGAGAAGAGAAGAATGCCGGGGAATTTGGGGGCGTTCCTCGTAAAACCAAAAAGGCAACAGTTTGGCTTCTCAAATTTATAAACATCGAGAGAGAGAGAGAGAGAGAGAGAGGTTTTAGTGTGAGAGAGGGAGACTAGACGAGGGTGTTCAACTTTGAAACCCAACTTTTACAAAGCACACATTTTCCGTTCAGATATTTTAGTCATTTTGTTAAAACATGAGTAATGCAAAATTTACTGTGTTTAGTGTTACTAAAATTTTACTAAATTATATGGGGTTGTGCAATTCCACCGGAACTTGGGAGAGATTTTTTTAGCATTGCGGAACATGGCTGATACACTAATATAATAGTACAAGATTAGAAATTTAAACAAATAGTCAACCAATTATAATATTACACTTAGTGGGTCCCACATAAATTTTGGAATCCAATTCCGAAATTTGGAGGAATTGGACTCCTAACAATTGGATGGTATTTGGATTTCGGAGGATTAAGGGGGTGAGGAGTCCATTTTTCTTACCCATTGTGCCCTCACATAAAAGTTAAAATTCCAACAAAACCCAAGCTCTCGTCCCAGTGTTATCCCTCTCCTTCTCCCTCACCATTGTCGCACATCCCTTGCCTTTCCCAGGACACAGACCCAGCCATGATCATCTTCCACAACAATTAAACCACAAAAGTAGATCAAACCACAAACCAAGAAGAACCTTGCTGCAATTTTAGTAGGTATTTTATGAACAAAATGTCAAAAATCAAGCCCCTATACCAAACCAATGTGGTTGGCAATGAGGAGAGTCTTGTGGGTGAGGGGGAGTGAGTTAAGGCAGTGAAGGGTGAGAGAGAAGAGGATAGAGGAGGAGAGGAGGAAGGAGAGACGGTGGTGGTGGTGGGCATTGGAGAGGATAGTGCGGTTGCTGAGAAAGACTGGGGAAAAAGGGAGAGAGAGAAGAGGAAATAAATTAGGGTTATTAAGAATCTTCTCAAATATGTAGAAGCAAATAAAAAATATTCTTTCATATTAAATTTGTACTAAAAGTTTTACTAAAAATAATTAGCAAATAAAATAGATTAGTTAAGCAAGGGTACTTTAGTAATTATATTAGATTTTATTCCGATTCATATGAATTAGTAAACAGTTTATATAGATCAATGTCATTTCTACTTTGATTCCAGACAGTTTTGGTAAACAACTTTAACAAGAATCTAATTCTGATTCCAGCTCATTCCAATTCCTCCTCAATTTGATTACGGATTAGTAAACGTGCCCTCATAGCAGAACATTTCTGCAGTAAATGCCTCAATTCTGCTGTATATTGATCAACCAAAGCAGCATCATCTACTTCACTTTGACACGATGAGTTTCGACTTTAGTTGTCCATTTTTTACAACAATTGGAAAGGATAAAAAAATGTATACAATTTCACAAGCATGAAAGGGAATATATCTACTATGTTTAGTGATTAAAATAAAAGAACTTTAACGAAAAGTTCTAGGTACTGTTCACTTTAACGAAAAACCACATTTTTACATTAAAAAGTCAATCTTGGTACTATTCACTTTACCTTTATTTTGTCCATATTGTTAAAACTCAAAATTTTCAAGTCTTTTTCATTAGTTTTCCTTTAAAATAAAGGGTACAAATCATTGAGTCCACAACAAACAATTTTCTTCCTTTCGGTGAGAGTCTTTCTGTGACATCCCACATCGCCCAGGAGAGTGATCCTTATATGTATATTCTCATCCCTACCTAACACGATGCCTTTTGAGAGCTCACTAGCTTCGGGTTCCATGGGAACTCCGAAGTTAAGCGAGTAGCGCGCGAGAGCACTCTCATGATGGGTGACCCACTAGGAAGTTCTCATGTGAGTTCCCAGAAACAAAACCATGAGGCCGTGGTCGGAGCCCAAAGCGGACAATATCGTGCTATGGTGGAGTCAGGCCCGGGAAGTGGTCTCGCCCGGACCGGGATGTGACAATTTGGTATCAGAGCCAGGTTTCGATCCTGGGACATGTGGGTTATGGGCCCACTACACTTCCGCTGCGCAACTTTGATACCAAATTGTCACATCCCGGCCCGGGCAAGACCACTTCCTGGCCCCAACTCCATCGTAGCACGATATTGTCCGCTTTGGGCTCCGAGCACGCCCTCACGGTTTTGTTTCTGAGAACTCACACGAGAACTTCCCAATGGGTCACCCATTATGGAAGTGCTCTCGCGCGCTACTCGCTTAACTTCGGAGTTCCCATGGAACACGAAGCTAGTGAGCTCCCAAAATGCCTCGTGTTAGGTAGAGATGAGAATATAAATATAAGGATCACTCCCCTGGGTGATGTGAGATGTCACAATCCACCCCCCTTAGGGGCCCGACGTCCTTATCGGCATACCACGGCCAGGGTTAGGCTCTGATACCAAATTGTCACATCCTGGCCCGGGCAAGATCACTTCCCGGGCCCGACTCCACCGTAGCACGATATTGTCTACTTTGGGCTCCGACCACGCCCTCACGGTTTTGTTTCTGGAAACTCACACGAGAACTTCCCAGTGGGTCACCCATCATAGGAGTGCTCTCGTGCGCTACTCGCTTAACTTCGAAGTTCCCATGGAACCCGAAGCTAGTGAGCTCCCAAAAGGCCTCGTGTCAGGTAGAGATGAGAATATACATATAAGGATCACTCCCCTAGGCGATGTGGGATGTCACAATCCACCATTCTTAGGGGCTCGACGTCCTCGTCGGCACACCATGGCCAGGGTTAGGCTCTGATACCAAATTGTCACCTCCCGGCCGGGGCGAGATCACTTCCCGGTCCCGACTCCACCGTAGCACGATATTGTCCGCTTTGGGCTCCGACCACGCCCTCACGGTTTTGTTTCTGGGAACTCAAACGAGAACTTTCTAGTGGACCACCCATCATGAGAGTGCTCTCGCGCGCTACTCACTTAACTTCGAAGTTCCCATGGAACCCGAAGCTAGTGAGCTCCCAAAAGGCCTCGTGTTAGGTAGGGATGAGAATATATATATAAGGATTACTCCCCTGGGCGATGTGGGATGTCACATCTTCTCTCAAGCTGAGAATGCTTCGCATCTTCTGTGTGAGTGGCCAGAGCTTCTGATTTCGTTCAGCTACTAGCCCTAGCAGGGCCTAAGTCGATGGCAACGCCTCCTCTTTCTTCCATGTCTGTTTTCTGTTTCTCCCTTTTCCTCTGCTTCCACCTGTTTCTGACCATTCTTTCTTCTTCATCTTGCATCAGATCTAATGGCACCTTAGCCTCCGTCAGAAATTTCTCAATTCCTACCATCTTTTTCTCTCCCTATGTTGCCCAACATCCATGACTCTTTTCAGCCTATCTTCTACCTATCCCTTTGGGTTCCAGCCTCTTTTTATCCCTAATTTTTCAGATCTGCAACTATTTTTTCTAATCGTGTTTCACAGTTCTCTTGGATGGTGTGTAGAGCGTCTACTCGGCCACCTTCCATTTATGTGCCTTTGTTGGCACGATTACTTGTGGGATATTCCTCCCATGAGTTTCATTTACTTGATGGCTGCGGATTTGGAATTTGTGGGATGATGGAAGAGGGTGGAATCTTATTGATTTTTTAGTTTGGAGACTTCATTTAGTTGGATTCCCGTGACTGCAAGAGGCGGTTGTGGTTCGTGGTCGGCGGTGTTGATGGTAGCTATGTTCTTAGGGTTTTTGTTTTTCTTTTGCTTGTTTTTTGCTCATTCCTTGGGTTGGGTGTTTTGTTTTGGGATTCGTTTTGTCGTTCTGGGCTCTATTTGTAGCTGAATCCTATTTGTAAATGTTTCATGTGTTGGTAATGAAAAATTTACCTTTGTACCAAAAAAAAAAAATCCATTGAGTCTACAAACCAAACATACAATAATGGAAGTCCATTGAATTATTAGGGCGAAAATACAAACAACCAATTATAGGAAGAAATTGCAGTAAAATTGCAGGCAATAAACATTCAATTTGAATACACGTTGAAAATGATTTGGGGTGTTATAAGAAATAATTTTATTTTTCAACATTTTATGGGGCTTAAATAGTTATTTCATGGCAGGATATATAAGTTGTTTAATAATAAATTTTTATGTAGTGTATATTCAACAATATGTAGGGTGCTAGCCGATTCATAAATTTATGGATTTGATGGAGTCTAGGGATTTTATGTAAAATTTTAAGTAAATTCCCTCAAATTCTCAGAGGTATGAGAATTGAGATTGTTTAAAATACAGTACGAAATACTCTATTTACCTCGAATTCCCCAACTTTGAAAAATATTTTAAAATCAATTTCTAATTGAATACACTTGAAATGTTATAAATTCCTTTAAATTCTACTTGAATACATCTAGACTTTTAGAGAAGCACTTAAAATCTTGATTGGATACCTCTAAATTTGTAAAATGAATTAAAGTCTCTCAAAATCTCAATTGAATACACCCCTTAAATTGTTTTGTCAATTTCTCATCTAAATTCATAATTGTGTGAATACTTCCATTATTTTTTGCTTAAAATTAGTTAAAACATATCATTAGTAATGCATGTAAGCCCTTTTTCAAATATATATATTTTTTTTTACATTTAAACCCCGTATGACTTGGAATAAGAATACTAAAGTTTGTGGGACAAATTTTCTGTTCTCTCGAATACTTGTACTCAATGAGTTTCTTAGTCCAAAGTCATCTAGAGGTCATGGATTGATCAAAATACACTTGAAAATGATCTAGTGCGCAACAATAACAAAT